AATGCTCTTTTCTATTCTAGAGTTTGGGAAAAAAAAAGAACTTTTCTTCAATGGAACTGAATCTCCACTATATTCTATGACAACAAGCTCAGATTAAAAAAATTAGATTTAAAACAACAATAATGAAGAATGAAGTATACTCAACATATTGAGATTGTGAACTTGATGGGTGAGGACAGGTACTTCCAACAAAAATTACTTTGATCTCAATCTTTTTAAATGAGTGAAGGCTGTAAGAACCTCCACGAAATCTTGAGGGATAGGGAAGAGATTTGATTTTTTAATCTCAGAATATGCTCCTTTTTCTGTGTTTTATCAAAAAATTTATTATTATTTTTAAAAGATGGAATATTTTATGAAGTTGTGAAGAATGGAGACTTGTGTGACCAATGAAATTGAGCAAAATCACGAGTATTTAATGTTGAAAAAAGAGGAAAGATAATTTCTCAGTTTAGCATCTTGTAAAAGGTGCTTCTATGATGGAGTTGCAGGCAATAGGAGGTAAGATCTCACATGAGTTTTAGATGATAAATTTGGACACGTGGCAAAAATATATTAGTGAGACTCAATAAGGGGGCTGGATAAGGGGGTTGAGGATCTTAATTGCTGCTTTAGAACTCTTGAAACTATCTCAAGGTTGGTATTTTTTTAGATTACATATTTTTTATTCTATCTTCTTCCATACTCACATATTCTCACATTCTACGCACAGATTCACTAATACGCATGAAGTAGATGCATAAATTCATAAAAAATCATATAATCTTCTCTCTATTTGTTGAACTTTAGAATGAAAGTTTTAGATTTTTGCATGACTTGGAATAATACATCAATAGAAAGTACAAAATTGCCATCAGTTAATATTGAATACTTAGTATAAAACTAGATTTAATGTTTGAATTATCATTCAATATTGTGAGCAAAAATATTAAAATTTGCAAGATCTAGTTTGGTACAAAATCTTGTATTCAGGTTGCAGTTCATAAATGGCATATCGGATTAAGGCTGCAATCCAAGCGAGTAACTCAATCAACTACATGTTCATTGAGTTGAAGTCAAGGTCAAGCATTCTCCATTACATAAACGAGCCAAATTCAAGTATGAAGATGTATAGTCGAGTACTCGACGAGCTTAATTGAATACTAGTATATTTATTTAAATATTAAATTATTAGTAAATTACATTTTTGAATTTTTTATTATTAAATTGCATATTTAAACCAAAACCTTGTTAGAAAAGTTACTATAGTGCCATACTTTTAAATAATTATTCCCATGAGCAAATTAATAAACATGACACTCAAAAATTAGAAACCCTACTTAAATAGTGAACAACCTCTCGTGATCTTGCTTTCATTTCTCTATACCCTTTTCTCTCTTCTCTACAAGGGCTCTTCTTCTCAAGCACAAACACCTATCTCTCTCCTCCTCTTTTCTGTAGCTCTCTCTCAGGTATGAACAACAAAGACTCAAAAGAACAGTTTCCCTCTCTCTAGCCATTCTTTCCTCTTCATCTCTCTTTGCACCAATTGTTGCTTCAGTAATGAGAGTTCAGACTAATTTTGGGATTTCAAGTTAGGAAGGTTGGCAAATCGATGTTAAAATAAGAATTTTCCTTTCTGTGGCAATTGTTGCTAGGTCTTTTTATTCTTAAAATTTTTTTCTTGTTTCATTATGTGATTTTTTAAGATTAAAAAGTTACATTTTTCATGGAACTTTTGTCTTGTTTAATCTAGTATTTTTAAGGTTAAAAAGTTACATATTTTTAATTTGTATTTAGTTGAATTTGGATTTTTAGACTCGTGTTGAAATTTGTTGGAAATTCTAATAATTGGTTTCAAATTTAGTATTTGGGTTTGTTGGAAAAAATTTGAAATCTAAAATTTGGAAATCGAGCTAACTAAGCTCAAATTTTTATAGGCCTGAACAAGTTGAGCTTGATCTTTTACAAATCTAGTGAGTCGAACTCGATCTTGGATAGGTATGCTCTTTCAAGCTTGAACTCGAGTATTGCTGAATTACTTCAAGTTCGACCTCAAGTACAGCACTACTTATACTCATCCGGACTTAAATGCACCTTTATATAGGATGCTTATTCATAGTATCCTATACGTTTACTTTATCTACATAAATTCCGACTCATTCTTCATTGTCATCTCTTCCATCACTACTGCTTTTACCTTTTTTCCTTAATTTCTTTGCAATCTCTTTTATTTCTTTTCCTCCATTAATATATTCCTTTTGGTTTTTTCCTCTTTTTTTTTTTCTATTCTCTACTTCAAAGCTCTTCTGGTTACCTCAAGGTTGGTATTTTTCTATATCACTAGTTTTTTCTTCTTTTTTCTTGCAGATGAACTAGTTCTTTGTTCTTTTTCTTGCAGATTCATCATAAGTACTTATGCGCTGTACATATACTCCACTGATACTCATTCGCTAGAAACACTGACTCACTAAAATTTGTGCAATTTTTATATTAATTTTTTCATAATTTATTGTAATACATATGACAAGTATAAGATTACTATAATTTATTATGATAGATTTAGTACAAAACTAGATTTAATATTTAACTTACTATTAAGTGTTATGAATAAACATGTTAAATTTTGTTGGATTTGGTTTAGTCTAGATGTTGTGTTTCGACTCTAGTTCATTTTTAAGATAACTAATACATGGGGACATTTGGAAAACTAGGATGGAGGGAGCAAAAATTTGAAAAAAGAAAATGAATAGAGACATGGAACTTCCAATTTCCATTTTAAATTTGTTGGAATTAATTTCACACAATTTAGGGGACTAAAACACTGAAATTAAGTTTTTAATGATCAAAACAGCCAAATTAAAGTATTGGGGATGAAATTGGGATTCCAAATATAGTTTTATGAGTAGTTAGTTATTTGACCAAGTAGAATCTTGAATAGACAATGGATTATGTTTATTTTATCAAAAGGGTATGTCATACACTTATTGAGACAAATTTTGCTATTAGTTTTTTTTAAATCTAAAAATAAGTTGAAAAAAGTTTTTAAATGTAGGATCTTCAATAAATGCGCGTGTATGCTATTAAATTGAGTAATAATTTAGTTGCACAAATAAGCATGTCAATGATAAAGTAACAAGATCCAAATCTAGATCTACTAAACTTATTTATACTTGGATATGGACATGAATCCAAATCCTTATGAGTTTAAAAAAGAAACACACACACACACACACAAATCCTCTAGGTTATGTTTGATAATTAGGTGATCTTGTATATTGTAATTATTAAGAAGCTCATCTATTAAAAAATGCAAACCTTTTTATTTGTTCTAAAAGGCTATAAATGCTTCAAAATCTAGAAGCTAAATGGGGCAATATGACAGGTATAATTAAATAAGTCATCTTTTTGGCTCGAATGATGATAGTTCTGCAATTGTTATTGTAAACACTTCCAAATCATTGACTTGCACATGACGTGCTTGCTTTGTAGGTATATTATTATGCTGAAAAATTGTGAAACAATAGAAAGATTGTATGTTTGAGGGGTGCTTTACTATTTAAGGTATATTACCTCTCCATGATCACCTAAATTTATCTTTATCATTTTGAGAACATCTGAATTTAGAGCAAGATCTCTCTTTCTCTCTCTCTCACTTTTTTTTCTCTTTTTGTGTATGTGTATAAATTTTGACAATAGCTGAATTCAGAGTATGATCTCTCTCTCTCTTTTTATATATATATATATATATATATATATCTCTCACTTTTTCTTTTTTCTTTTTTCTTTTTGTGTATGTGTATAACACCCAAATCAGGTTTTGGACACCTATCAACTTATGGCTCTTTTGATATAACAACAACTAGACACCTTACACACTGCTAAACTCTTAGCATCTTGGTCTAACACAAACTTCTAGTACTAGTCCATTATCGAGAATAAATAACTCCAATACCACATGTTAGCCTACCAAAATGCTCAATATATAAGTCAGAAACCTAATTTTGAATAAAAAAACTTAATCTTGACCCAATCTTACCTATATATTAGACACTCTTTTATCCTCTTTAAAATCAATATAGGACAATCAACCCTTACCAACAAACCTATTAGTATTTCTTTTCTTATGCTAGTACATTGTGATTTCGATATAAGTAAAATTCTGATTGAAGCGACTAATTGAAATAAAATTTCTATATTGAAATGCCTAAGCATTTAGGAAGTTAAAATGACAAGTATTCCCACCACATTTAAGCGTTCCAAGCTATGTAAGTTTACCAAAAAGTTTACAAATAGCATGTTATATTATTTACAAAAGTTTAATAACTATTTTGTCAACTAACTATCAATCCTTTTAACTCATTTTTGGTGTTTCTTAGCAAATGTTGCTTAGATGCTATCAGAATAAAAAAAAAAAGTCAACTTCAATATTCATTCAAATAGTGAGTTGCTCTATGTTTCATACAACATATACATGCATTCACTCATACATACATTGTATGCACTATATCTTCGGCGGTGACCCACCTAGCCCGGGAGTCATCAGATCATGCACCGCTCCTTATTTCTGTCTCTACCAAGTTGGATAATAAGCCGCACCCATTCAGATTTCTTAATGTTTGGACGGGGAGGGAGGATTTCCTACCATTGGTTCAGGAATCGTGGGGGTAGCCGTGCCCTGGGTCTTCGCTGCAAGTTCTATGTTGTAAAATGAAACGGCTGAGCGGTGCTATCCAGGTTTGGAATAGGGAGGTCTTCGGAGATATCTTTTAGGCGATTAGGCAAAGGGAAGAGGAGGTGCGGTTGGCGAAAATCAGGTTGGAAAGTGATGAGTCGGATGATGCTAAGGTGCAACTCCATCTTGCTCAAGGTCAGTTGCATGCGGCCTTGAGAGTGGAGGAGCTTTTTTGGATGCAGAAGGCTCAGGTTCGGTGGCTTCAGGAGGGGGGACCATAATACGAAATTCTTTCATTCTGTGGTCAAATCCAAAACGGTACGCTCGGTCATCCACAAGATTAGAAATGACCGAGGGGAATGGGTTGAGTCAGAGGAGGAGATTGGAGCTGAGGCGGTACGGTACTTCGAAAGGCTGTTTTCAGCTCAACATCCAACATCATTTTCTCCCTCAGATTTGCTTCAGCATATCCCAAAAATTCTGACCGATGAGGAGAATAGTTTGTTGGAGCAGGTACCCTCTGAGGAGGAGGTTCGGAGTGCGATGTTTGCAATGGATGGAGAGAGTGCACCGGGGCCGCATGGATACACAGACAAATTCTTTACGGCTGCATGGTCAGTTATTGGTAAGGATGTGGTTAGAGCGGTGTGTAGCTTCTTCTGTGGAGTTGTGTTGCCACATGCAGTTACAGCGACCTCCATTGTGCTGATCCCTAAGATTGAGCATCCTCAGGATTTTTCGCAATTCCAACCAATTAGATTGTGTAATTTCGTTAACAAAATTTCGCGAATTTTGGCGGATCGTTTGGCCCAAGTGCTTCCTAAGATCATCTCTCCACAATAGAGTGGGTTTGTTCAGGAGCGGCTTGTATCGGATAATTTTTTGCTCATACAGGAGTTGCTCTCTAATATGGAGAGGTCTTCCAGAAATGCCGATGTTGCTTTAAAGTTGGATATGTCGAAGGCTTACGACTGTGTCTCCTGGATATTTTTTACTTCAATTTTGAGAAGATTTGGATTTGGGGAGCAATGGATTGACAGGATTTGGAGATTATTGTCGAATGTCTGGTTCTCAGTCCTGGTCAACGGGTCGAGTGTGGGTTTCTTTAAGTCCACACGAGAGCTTCATCAAGGGGACCCACTATCCCCAGGGCTATTTATTGTCGGCACGGAGGTGCTGTCCCGCTCTTTAAACAAGTTAATAGAGCATTGGGAGTTTCAGTGCTTTTCAGTTCCGCCAAGATGCCCTAGGATTACTCATCTCAGCTATGCAGATGACGTCTTGGTTTTCTCTAGTGCTTCGTCCTCCTCACTGCGATGTGTCATGCAGACGATTAGGAATTATGAAAATATTGGGGCAGGAGATTAATGTTCAGAAGTGCTGTTTTTTGGTGCATACTAAGTTGCCTAGTCAATGTGTGGCGAGGGTTCGACGGATTACTGGGTTTGGGCTTAAACCGTTTCCTGTGTGCTACTTGGGCTGCCTGCTTTTTACGGGGCGTCGGAAGTGTCTGTATTTCATGGAGTTGGTTCAGTCAATCATTAATAAAATCTCATCTTAGAGATCCAGGTTTCTATCCAATGGGGGTCGTCTCATACTCATTAAGCATGTTCTTTTTGCAGTCCCGATTCACTTGCTGGCGGCTTCATGCCCTTCGAAGAGAGTTCCGCCTTGGCTGAACAGGCCATGGCAAATTTTCTTTTGGGGGAGCAGGAGGGTGGTCTCCGACACTATTGGATCAAGTGGCTAGACTTGTGTGTGACTCGTCACAGGGGGGGTTGGTGTTCGATCGTTACTGGAGGTCCAGTCAGCGTTCTTGTTAAAATTATGGTGGCGCTTCCGGACAAGTGACTGCTTATGGTCGATATTCATGAGGGTCAAGTATTGTCGGTAGAGTCATCCATGCATGATAGGGGCGGCGCAGGGCGGCGTAGGGCAGCTCATATATGTGGCGTCATTTGCTTCAAGTTCGTGAGGTGGCGGAGCAAAACCTTTGGTGGGTGGTGCGGTTTGGTCAGTGTAATTTCTGGTTTGACAATTGGCTGGGCTCTGGTCCTCTATGTCAACGCCTACAAAGTGTCTCGGATCATTTAGTAAGGGATTTTGTGGTGAATGGGCGGTGGAATCAACAGTTGTTGCGGCAACGGGTCCCTGATGACATAGTTTTAGAGATTGTTACCAAATCGGCCCCAGTGGGATCTGCGGATGATTGTACGGTGTGGGATTTAACGGAGTCAAGGCATTTTTCTATTGCTTCCTTTTATGCGATACTTGGCAGGTAGACTCCTTCCTCATTCATGTTTGATAGGGTTTGGCATTCTTTGGTACCAATCAAGATATCTTTCTTCATGGTGCGATTGTTGAGGGATCGGTTGCCGTTGGCGTCGTCGCTAGGAAGATTACATGTGTCTGGCTGTGATGGCCCCACCTTCCCCTAAGGCGTACCCCAGGGTTCGGCGGGTCGCTTGCCCAACTCTCACCAGGACTCATTCACTCATATCTCACTCATACATCCATAAACAGTAAATAACATTGCAAATCAAATTTATAATATACATCGATGCTCAAATCCAGATACAAAACTTCTACACGCCAAGATACTTTCAAGTGGTTACAATTCAAGTACAAAGAACCCTTGTCGGGTGTTAGCACGAGTACAATTTCAAAATTCAAAACAACTAGACTACACTAATCACGCCTCGCTCGTACCCTCTGTAAGGAAAACAAATGGAGTGGAATAAACTAAAAACCCAGTGAGATTTCAAATAGCAAGTTGACTATTATTTGAAGATACACATATCAACGTAATAAAAGATAGCAAGCATAACAAGTTCATAAAAGTGAACATTAACACTTCCAGTAGCAATTTTCTAAATGAACGAGTGTAAAATGCTTTTGATTTTCAAAAGAAACAATAATCCAATAAGCAATAATCATTTCCAAGTATAAGGATACGGATGGCTCTCAAGAGCCAAGTTCCCATTGCTTTACCAGAGTTTGATCAAATATTAGTTGATATTCCGCCAACTTTCAAGTAAAGTAACCAATCCAGTAGAGCACCACTTAACTCCAATCTCCATCCACCAACCAAACCTCTTGCAGGACCCGAACTCCAAGATAAACATTGGTGGTAATACTTGAGTATACCAATTAGTCGATGAGATAACACTCCACTCGACAATATTAGATACCCATGGTTCATTATTTAATCGATCAGACCCTTGCCGGCTCGACTCGATTAACTAACCAATGGGGTTTGGATCCCCTAAAAGACAATGAGATAACACTCCAATCGACTGAATCAAGATAAGTACAGAAACGGGAATGAGAGGTGCCTCCCACTCGGATCGAGTGTGGTACATACTGCCACTCAGTACTTACAAGTCAAGCACAAGTATATCAAGTCAATTGCATTAATAAACGAGTACATATCACATTAGAGCAAGTGCGATAAAATACACCCTTATCCGACCATACCAATCACATATCATTCGATCACATTATTCAAGTAGTGAAACCAAGTTTCAAGTTCAATCAGGTATTTGGAATCACTCACCAAAAGTCTAGTGCCTCTCAAAAATTACGTTCCAGTTTAACTCCTTGGTTGGAGTCCAAATCTGCGATAAAATATCATTTATGAATGTAAACCTTTCTAGAGTTCGAAACATAGGAGTTTCTTTTCAAGAAAATTAAGTAAATGCAACTCGTTATGTAGTATTCAAGATACTTATCAAATCTCGAAAAATTCATGCTCGCTTGTTTAGTTTCGGTAAGAAAGCAGTTAAAACTTTAGAACTCCCATTGGAGTTGAAAGAATGAGGAAAACATATTTTAAGTAGTCGTTATTTTCCATTTTCTCAAGGGTACAAGTTCGGCCAAGTTCTAACTTATATACCTCGATAAAAGAAGATGCAAATATCCTAGATGGTTCACGTGGTATTCGTTCTCAAGCCTTACTCAAGTCGCAAGTATATATACCTAGTTTTCGAGCGTAAATTTGGGCAGCATGCCCTTTATATTTACCTATTTTCCAACCCTTTATAGTTTCATTCTTTTCCTCATGCAGTCTCAAAGTCACCCATAAAATAATCTCATTTTAATAGCCGTTCAATAGGTTCAAGGTCATACAAGTACTAAACCAAGATAGGAACATGTGCGAAAATGAAATTTGAGTTAAGAAACAAAGGATAGATTTGACGTTGTTTTACGTAACGGACACAACCAAGGCTACGCTTATCGGATTGAGGTGCAACTTATACTGTGTTGAAGCTAAGACAGAGGGCTACGATTTTAATGAAGACCACTTAGTCCAGTTTCTAGTGTATCCAAGTCATATTCCCAATTTACAGAACCGGATTCCTACCAACAGGCTAGTTAACTGCACTACATTCAAATGACCATAACTCAAGCTACTGAAGTCTGATTAAGGCGTTCTCAAGGCGTTGAAAAGCTAAGACATAGTACTACAACTTTTATGTTTTGGCTAAATATTAGTTCAGTACATATCATGGTGAAAAGACACAACCAGATTGGTGCAATATCCAAAACTGATACTGGATTCACCTAGGGTAGTCAGGATATTTTGGTCGTTTCATAGGTTACGTTGCTCCGATTGAGCTGAAATTTTGCAAACAACTATAAAACATCATTCTCTACAACTTTTATGTTTTAATTTAAGTCTAATTTGGCCTCTATCATGGTGAACTAAAATCAGACAGAACAGGGCACTAAGGATTTTCACTTCTGGAATTTTGCTACACTTAAGGTATAATTCACATTTCCACCTCAAAACCACCACTACCACTTCATATACAAGCTTGTATACATCATATACCATCCACATAATAAGAAATAGGGCTGAAAAATACAAACCCTTCCTTACTAATGCACCCAAAATTATCGCAACTACTTGAATAACTACCAATTTAATCAAAACATGGGTTGTATAGCAACTTAAGCAAAAATAAAATAACCAAAGATAAAGGACAGCCAATATACCTCAATAACAAGTTTGCAAAGGATATCCTCCACTATTCCTTGCAAAGTTTAGCTTCCAAGCTTCCTAAACTCCCAAACTAGTGTTTAATCGATTTTGTTTTTTCTTGTTTTCACTCAAAATGGTGGATTCAAGGTTGGAAATTAGAAAACTCTCTTCACTCTTCTCCCTCTCTTGCTCTCGACTGGTATGCTGAAATAATGAGGGAAATAGGTTGGTTTTTGGTGATAAATATGGTGTAAATTAGTTAGTCAACAATTCAATGGAAGACCGCCACTTGTTGCTTCAAGATTCATTCTCAATTTTTTTCTTTCCTCTTGTTTTCTTGGTCAAAAAATTCGGCCAACATGATCAGATTTTGGCTGATATTTAGGCTCTAAGAATAAGGAGATTAACTTGATAAAATGGTGGTCAAATGGTGTATTCAATCGGTAGCACGCGACACCCGTCGGTCCGAAAGGTTTTTCCTTAAATCGCGTATACTAAGGTTTTCACTGATAATTTACTACCTCATTATTACTACTTCTAATCCCACACTTAATATTATCTAAAACTCACTCTTAATCACCAAATTTGATTCCCTCTTGGTACCGGATAGTCACACTACGGATAGACGTAAAACCCTAATTCGCGCTAACTTGAAAACAAAAAGGGTGAACCCTTCATTCTTTATTCATTTGTACTTATTGTGGGGTGATTGAGTAGTAGGGCTATTATAAAGTAATATTTTTCAAATAAAAGGAAATTTTTAAGAAAAATATAAGGAAATTTGCCGGTCATCACACTGGCCATCCAAGTGTTTTTGTTGTTTAGCCTCGCAGTTTGAATCTTTGGAGCATGTCTTCACGGAAGGAGAATTAGCTCAATTCCTGTGGACATTCTTTGGGAATGACGCGGGCGTGAGATACAGAGGGATAGGGGTGCGTTCATGACTGGCTGGTTGGTGGTGCCAGCCTCGACGTCACTCTCGTATGGAGTCATTACGCACAGTATTGCCTAGCATAATTTGCTGGCATATCTAGTTAGCGCGAAATCTTGCAATTTTTGAAGGGCAGTTCCTGCGGCGACAGACTATTTGTGACCGTATCCTGGCGGATGTCGTGGGGTTATTTGGTGGGGAGATGCAGGGAGTCTACTGGGCTTGGCTTTTGGTTGGCAGTCTACTCCAACATCTCTGGATAGAGGCCTCGATACTCCCATAGACTGGTTTGTTGGGAGTTTCCAGCTCAGGGGGAACTTAAGCTGAATACGGATGGGTGCTCGTTAGGCAACCCGGGCATTAGTGGCAGGGGTGGTGTACTCAGGGATTCATCTGGTGCGTTGCTGTTTGGATTTTCTATTCCGTTTGGGGAGCTGACATGTATCCAAGCGG